TTGTCTGTCCTGTAGCTGTTGGGTGCTGTCGGGTTTACCCTAAACCCTAAACCGTAAATCCTAAAAGGACGATCCGGCCCAATACCTTTTCCTACAATGCTGCCATCAGCGTTTGCGAGGGCGCCCGGGAGTGGCAGCAGGCCATCTCCTTGTTCAGCGTGGCTGCAGAAGAGGTGCATCGCCGCTTTCGTCCCCTTGACACCAAAACCCTAGACCCTGAATTCTCCAAGCGATACAGCCAAAAGCCGAAACCCAAGCCCTGAACCCTAAAAGCCTAAGCCCTATGCCCGAAAAAAACCTTTAGTCCTTCTCAAAAGGTTTCGCTTGATGTCATCAGCTACAATGCCACAATCTGCGCTTGTGGACGCTCTGCAGAGTGGCAGCAGGCTCTTGCATTCCTGCGGCTGGCCAAGGACCCGTGCATGGGCTATTAACCCTAAGGCTCCATGTACCCATATGGTATATACATTGGCCTTAAAGTACCTCTATAGGGACCCCTTTAAGGCCTAAGTATAAACTGATACACTATCCCCTTTAAGGCTTAAGTCTATACTGAGATACTTTATGGGTACATGGAGTTTTCGGGTAAGAGGGCTTCAGATGAGGAGCATATTGGTGAGACTAGCGTTGGGGGAGGTACACTGTTGTTGTAAGGGGTCATAGTAGACACAAGGGCGTTGTTGTCAAAATTAGGGTCCCTCTGGGGGTACCCTAAATACTAGGTGCCGTATTATACTAGGGACCCAACAAGGGACCATAATTTTGACAACCACCCATATGTATAAATGCTTGCTTAACATCCGATAATTGAGGGCCCTTATGAACTGGCTAGGATTTGGAGTAGACCATGGCAGAATTGAAAGGTGTACAAGGGCTGTATGAAAGGACACTGTAGGCTTTGAGGGTGCTTTGTGTTTAAAGTTCGTGAGGTCTCGGGCTCCCCCGTTTGCCTTCCTTGTATCAAAAAGGAAATGGAGTGACCCTTAATGGGGACCCCTACCCAATAATGGGCTACAGAATGGGTATATAATAGCTATACTAAGGGTATATACCTAGGGGTACCCTTGGATGGATGCAATGTCTGCTGTAGTTGATCTGGAGTTCCCGTTATGCAGATATGGTACCACGCCCTCCGCAAGCTGCAAGCTATAATTCCGTGTGATATCATGCAAGCCCTTTCAAGCCCTGCATACCCTTGGATTGTATATGTCCTTTACACAGTAGGTCTTTGGGGGGGAGAGCAAAGTCAGGGTTCGGGTATGCTCCGTTAAGCCACCTATATACTGGTAGTAGAAGGTACCTGGACCCCGAAGAACCCACCTTTTTGGAGTTCCCTAATATGACTTCTTTATATACGTCCTTAAAAAGGTAGGTTATTTGGGGTTAAGGTAGGTTTCCTATCGTCGGAATTGCTGTTGTGGTTTGACAAAGGTGACCCCATATAGGCACTTTAGACTCTAGACCCTTTCGTAAAGAGGAGTCCAAACCTTAAGCCCTAAACCCCTAAAGCCTAACCCTAAACCCCTAAAACCCTAAACCCTTAAACCCTAAAGCCGAACCCAAACCCTAAACCCTCAGAGGAGGAACTGCAGCCGGACGTTGTGACATACAACTCCACCATGAAAGCCTTGGAACAGGCCTTTCCCCAAGAGTCCAAAATAGTAACCTACATAAGTACTATCCGAAATCTTAGTACCTAAGTATTGGGTTCTTTGAACCCTTAGGGTTCGGTACTTGAGGAATCAGTGGGTTTAGGGTTTAGAGTTTTTGAAGGGTTTAGAGTTTAGAGTTTTCAGGGGTTTAGTGTTAGGGTTCTAGGGTTTACGGTTCAGGGTTTAGGGCTCTAGGGTTAAGACGCTCAGGGTCTGGGGTATCGTCGTATCAGGGTTGAGGTCTTAAGGCTCTTCAGGAAGTTTAGGGGTTGAGGGTTTACCTAGAGGCTGATATCCTACCCCTCTTTCAGGGCGCCTACTTGTTAAGATAGCAGATCCTAACCATAAAGCTAGGTATCTTAAGAAAAGGGGGTAGGGTATGAGCCTCTAGGTATGCTAACTCCAAGGTTCTGAGAGCTCTGTCTTTGTTTGACCCAAGGCTTAAGATATGGGTTTGGGATTTAAGGTTTAGGGTTTGGGATTTAGGGTTTAGGGTTTGGGATTTAGGGTTTAGGGTTTAGGGTTTAGGGTTTGGGATTTAAGTGGATGGTTCCATAGGGGTCCTTGTGCCTGTAGCATACACTGAATCTTCAAAAGTGTTCCCATGTTTGTACTTGGGGTCAACGTACACATTCTGCAGGCACTTGGACACTTAGGCAATGACGGCAACACTCGGAAATCAAGACCCGGAGAAAATGACAATGACTGACGGTGTCTGTGTTACTGTCACTGTGTTACTGGTGTGCCATTGCGTGGCTGTCGCTCATGTTACCTTATCACCGTGTCATGTACGCTCTTTGTTACTCACTTGCGGTATTGTTTCTCACTTCTGCTGTTATGTCTGTGCATGAGTGAAGCAATCCTCTTAACCCCTACATCAAGTTTGAAGAGTTGGGTCTGGGAGCTAGTACTGAGAACCCTAGAGCCCTACCAAGTGTAGTAAGACTGAAATCCCCGACCCGGTATGAAGGCTGCAGAATGGTCCAAAGCCCTCGTGCTGCTTGACGAAATGCTCCCTGCTCTGCATTATCAAGCGGCTTCAGACTTCGGGGCTTTAGGATTTAGGGTGTAGGGCCTACGGTTCAGGGTTTAGGATTCAAATTTAGGATTTAGGGTTTAGGATTCATGGTTTAGGATTTAGGGTTTAGGATTTAGGGTTTAAATTAGGGTTTAGGATTTAGGGTTTAGGGTTTGGCTGTGGTCATCCTTCTAGGGTCTCCAGAGTTCAGGGTTCGTCTCAGTGTCTAGAATTGTGCCAGTTAGATCCTGCGGAAGTCTGCCAGATGAGGACGGAGAGTCTGGGTTCTTGTTAAGGGGTTCAACTTAAGTTACCATAAATGACAGGGCTTTGGAGTATCATTCTTTAGTACATTTTTCCTTGAAGGAACCATGATGAAATGCAAGTTCATACTTTTTTCTCCCTGGTTACTTAAAAGCCCAAAGAGACCAAATGGTTTACTGTAAACCCCTATTGTGGTAACTTTAATTTAGTTCCTTGACAAGAACCCAGGAGTGGCGTCGGCCTGCAAGAGGATCTCATTAGCTTCAACACAGCCATCAGCGCCTGCGAGAAAGCCGGCCAGTGGGAGCAAGCTGTGAGCTTACTGTGACTCCACCCGCACTTTTGAGGGCTCGGGGTCTTCGGTTCAGAATAATCTAGATACCTTGGTCCTTTGGGGCACTTCTAGACTCTATAGCCTACCCAGAGACCCCATAGTAGTTCCTCTTTAGATTTAATATAGGGCCTTACAATAATTACCAATACTATTTTGGGGGGTTCCTTATTGTAATTATAGTATAATGGGCCCGAAAACCCTATTCTAATTATTAAGGCGCCTGTTTTACCTCATAAGATTCTACTATGGGGCCTATGGGTAGGATATACTTCAGATACGCTGGGCTATTCAACAGCGCTGGACAGACAAGTTACATCGTTTGCAAATTCGCAGCCTGCCACACTTCTTTGGTTTAAGGTGTGGGGTTTAGGGCGCAGGGTTTAGGGTAACGTTCAGGCTCAGGATTTAGGGATTAAGGTTTAGGGTTTAAGGTTTAGGGTTTTGGGTTTCGACCCTTTGCGCCTGTTGGTTCAGCGTACGGACCCTCTACCACAAGGAGGCCCAGCCACCTGGTTACTATAGGGGCCGGTCAACGGTTAGCAACACTATTTTGGGGTTCCTTAGTCTCGTCAAAGTATGGTATACCCCCAAACCCTATTCTATTTCTTAATGCCCCTGTATTACATGGGTGGTTGTCAAAATTATGGTCCCTTTTTGGGTCCCTATTTTAATACGGCACCTTCTATTTAGGGTACCCAGAAGGGCGCCATAATTTTGACAACTAACCTCACATGCAGCTGAGGTGCCTTGCGGGGGAGAGCTCTTTGCAGGCCAGCATTGTCTCCTCAGCGCTGTAAAAAGTCATGTAAGGCCGTACAGAAGCAGAGTAGGCCTGGCAAGGCGTTTGGCTCAAAGTCTGGCATCCACTGAGTGTGTAGATGATGCTGCTGTGGGTTTGGGTCTGGCTTTTGCTGCCATCGTTGCGTGGCGAGGAGTGTGATGGAGACGCGATGTTGCAGCTGCGTGCCGATGCCAATGGCGCAGACGATGATCATTGCAAGGACGAGGGTTGGTTCTGCTCCGCAGTGTTGGTGGAGGGCACAAGCACCTCGCCAGGTTCTGAAATGCCGAGGGGCTATTAGCGTGAACGGGGATCATTTCCTTGTTGACCATCTCTGTTTTTGTTGGTTCATGGTTCTAGCTGCGGCCGTTCTAGTTTGAGTACAGTCGGCTCATCCATGCCTTGAGCTGGCGATTGCGCAGGCATGTGTGAAGACCTGCGCTGAAGAATGCCAACCTTGCATTGACGATGACTGGTGGTGTGCAAAATGACTTTGTCCAGTGAACGGAAAGTCCTGCCGCAAGACTTGTGCAGAGCGTTGCAGAGTGAATTGCAAGGAAACTCAGTAGCTGAGTGGGTACACCTTACACTTTTTAGGGATAATATGACCCACTATACAACTGAAAGTGTACACTGTTGGCTTATGAACTCAGCAACTAAGGAAACGCCCGATCTCGGTGAATGCAAGGCGAGAGCAGCAGCCTGCGAACTATCGGAAGCCATGGCAGAGTGGAAGTCCCGCAATGCGACGCTTCAAGACATCCAAGGCCAACTGCGGCGCCTGTGCAATGGAGAGCCTGCGAGATTGTCGCCAGAGATGAGAGAGCTTGCCCAAGCTTTGGGGGTCCCAGATTCAGAAGATCAGGACGAAGTGAAACCACTCAGGAGAAGCTGCCCAACAGGAATCGATGAGTGCGTCCCTGACGTGAGAGAGTGGCTGAAATCGAAGCCATGGCTGGTGCAACAAGCATTCGCAGTGCCAGGCTGGTTGGCGAAATCCGGAGTGGATACCTTGAAAGAGGTCTTGAAGCCTCCAAAGACATCCTCTTGAAGGGCACCATTGCCTTTGCGTTTCTCAGTGCCGGTATTAGCGCCTTCTTCCCGAAGTTCGGGAGTGACCCAAAGAGCCCTTGTGACGGCATAGAAGGTGAGGATTGGGGGAAGTGCGTTTGGCAGCAAATCTTTCCGCTGGTCGAAGAGTTTGTGGATGCGAAGTTTGATGACTTCACAGCAAAGCTTTGGGATGCTCATCTGAGGGGTTGGCAGAACCGCCTCTGGTACATCGAGACCACAGTGAAGGAGAACACGGGTAGCCAGAAGTATGTCCCCGAAAAGGTCAGCAAGAAGATGTATCAGGACTTGGACAGTCTTCATCAAGGGCTTATCCAAGCTGCGCCGGCCTTCATGATGCCTTTCAACAAGGCATAGGGGCTGATTAGGCAAACTTGAACCTTTCGGAGCTTATGAGAATCCCACAATACCCAAGAAATGGAGTTGTGCGTTTAGGGCTCGGGTGCTCAGCCCCTGGGAAGGGGAGTATTGCCGGACTCTACATGTCGCAGTTTTCAGCCTTGCACGTGAACGTGATGACCACGTTGTTGGCTGACGAGCAACACCAGACTGTGCCTTTGCAATTGGCATTAAGGGAGCCTTTAAAGGCTTCTAGAAGGGTTGCTACAAGAGTCTAAGGCTCGCTTCAAAACTAAATGGCTGTGATCTGGAGTCTGAACTTTGTAACCCTAACTATATGGGTGATTGTCAAAATTATGGCCCCTTTATGGGTACCCTAAATACTAGGTGCCGCATTAAAAATAAGGACCCAAACAGGGATCCCCACTTTGACAACCACCCATACACTGCCTTTGTGTTTCGGGCCCCTAATATAATAAGGCACCTAATATGTAGGGTACCCAAAAAGGAACCATATTTGTGACAAGTGCCCATATGCGATTTGCGACCTGAGGAAGGCTTTCGCGTCACGACGCAGGAGATCCTTCTTTGCTATGCGCGCCTCGTGGTGAAGAGGACCCTTGAGGCGCGTGAGGAGCGCTTGAAGGCTTTCGAAGTGGACAACAGCTGCTTAGAAGATAGCCAATGGGAGAACTTTACATTTTTTGGCTTTTATATTCGATTCTATGGTAAAAAGTTGTAAAAAGTTTGAGCTTTGCTGGGCCTGGTTCTTATAGAAGAGAGGCTGCGGCAAGTCGACGTGCTGCCTGAGCGTCCCGGGGCAGAAATGCCAGTTTGCATGCCCGAACATCTGCCGCAAATACGAGGACACATGGCAGCATTGTGACTGGAGCCCTGGGAAATGCGAAATCAGCGACAGCAGGAAGTGTGTCAAGGGCACGGTACTTCCATTCGGTTGCGAAGATACCAAAAAAGACACGTGTTCGTCCTCCTCAGAAGGCATCAAATGGGATTGCCATGTCGATCATGTGAATGACCAGCTTGATACAATGTGGTCAATGTGGTTGGCTCCGGTACCCCATTGGCTTGACCTCGTCGTCCAGATGGACGCTTTGAACATCAAGAAGACAACAGAAGCTCAAAGTGGCTTTTATTGTCCGCTGTAAGCCCGGCACACGTCCAAGCTACAGTTTACATTAGCCCTGCAAAGGTCATGCGCACGTCCTAACGCGCGTTGTGCATGGAAAACCGTTTCGGGCGAAGCCAACATCTACTGTAGGATGCTGTATAGCAGCTTGAATTCGAACCTCTGATGCATGCCAAGGCATGAGCATGAAATATGCTTGAATGCATTAATTAACATGATGCTCAGCCGCTAGACGCTGGAGATTCAGATTGGCCCGACATGCGCATTCACGAAGCCTCGACGCTTTTATAGGGCAAAAGTACTTTGCTCTGAGTTGATCCGCTCTCCCAGAGACTCCATTATCCTTTAATTAAGGAATGTACCCTGAATCATATTCGGGATCCTATATTAATTTAAGGCATCTTCCTCAATCAAGGGATATTGGAGTCTCTGGGTTCTCCTCATGTTACAGGTTGCACAGGTTCGACATCGAGAATCATGAAGGGGAGGTCTAGCAGGTGTCCTTGATTTTTTTGCGGGCATTATAATCCCTATATGTAATTCTATATGTAATTCCATTGGTTTACGTTTAGTTCCCCTAGGATACTGGCCAGGTAAGATCCTAGATCTCAGATCCTCATAGAAACCTTGGTTTGAACTTACAAACAACAATTTAAGGCCCTGACACTAGCAAAACCTTAGTATCTGTAAGTTCGATACTCAAAAACCTCCTGGTTTATGCACCTCTCCAGCATACCTACTAAAGCGCCTGTAGAAGAATCCTTTTAAAGCCTACGCGAATGCCTCTGTTACACCCTTCTCGGAACCTGTAAACGAACCCTTCAAGGAGCCCGTGTGCACCTTTAGTGGAATGTAGGCCGACATCATCAGCTGCAGTGCTGTCATCAGCGCTTGTGAGAAAGCTGCGCAGTGGCCACAGGCTTTGACGATGCTGCGACACTTGATGTGCTGGCGTCGTTAGCGATTAGGGTGCAGGGTTTCGAGGGTTTAGGGTTTAGGGGGCTTTTGGATTCATAACAGTTTTAGCAGTAGAGCAAGTACCTTTGACCTTGTTGGTGGTATTACAACCCGCTTCTATTCCCAAAGATTATATGTAGCCTCTAGGTTCCTTTGATCTTTTTGTTGTTATTACAACCCGTTTCTATTCAAAAAAGCTAACCTTTAGTGTCAGGATATTGGGCAAGTAAGGACAGGCCCAATTGAGCTACATGGAAGCGGACGTCATCACATACTGTGCAGCCTCTTTATGGGTTCCTTTAAGGGTTCATTTAGGTTCTCTTGATGGTTCTCCTAAGGAGCCCTCAACCCTAAACCCTAAACCGTAAAAGCCTTACACTACTCTTTATGGGTTTGGGTTTAGGGGCGCGGGGCTCGTGTTGCTGGGTCCTACTTGGAGGGTCATGCGACTTAGTAAGCAAGGTTATAAGTACATTAGTTGTGGTTATGGGTAGTTGTAGGTCTAGCTACCTAATGATAGCTCTAGTTACTAAGTCCCGAGATCCTTTCAGTAGTAATGAATCAAGCACCCGACCAAGCTTTACTTATGCAGATTGTTGGAGTGATCTGTGAAAGTGGTTTATCCCTACATTAGCGCTCAGGTGCGGCCATCAGTGCTTGTGAAAAGTCGGCACAGTGGCAGACAGCCATGGCCCTTCTGAAGGAATTTGAAGATCACATGCTGAAGCCAAGCATCGTCGTGGTAAATGCCATCATCAGTGCCTGTGGAGCGGCTACCGAATGGCGGCAGGCATTGCAGCAGTTTGTAGAGGCAAAAGGCCGCGTTTTGAATCCCGATGTCGTAACGTATGCTGCGGCCATGAGTTCTGTCGAAAAAGCAAACCAATGGCAAAGAGCCTTGTCCTTGCTGGAGGAGGTTGGGCATCAACGGGAAAAAACAAACATAATCGTGCTGAACGCAGCGATTAGTGCATGTGGTGGTGCAGCGCAGTGGCAATTTGCCGTTCAAATACTGAGTGAGGTCCATGCAAGACTGTTGCAGACAGATTTGGTCACTTACGACGCAGCTCTCACTGCATGCGCGAACGGCATGGAGTGGCAGAAATCCATCGGATTGCTTCGCACAGTCCAAGAGACAGACATCCAGCTCGGTGTTATCGCCTTCAATGCCGCAATCACAGCTTCCGAGCGAGCATCACAGTGGCAGGCCGCTATCCATCTGCTAGAGCTTGCTGGCACGGTTGTCGACCTAACCGTCGTGACCTTCAGTGCGACCATCAGTGCATGTGAGCAGTCTGGACAGTGGGTTGAAGCTCTCCAGCTCTTGAGATGTATGGAGCAGCGACATCTAGAAGCTAATTTGATAAGCTACGCATCCGTGGTCAGCTCCTGTGAGAAAGCCCTGAGATGGCGAGAAGCCCTGGCAATTCTGAACAATGCGCTTCGAAACTCTGTCATAGTAGGGTAACATTTCACATTTTTATGGGTACTATTACTATAACCCAATCAGGAATAACACTGTACATTTCAAACACCATCCCAACTAAACCCTAAACCCTACTATGAACCAGGGAAGTGGCTGCAGCCCAACACGATCGCCTCTAGCGCGGCGCTCCGGGCCTGCAGTCGGTCGATGCATTGGGAAGCAGTTTCCAGGCTGCCCAGTTTAGTACCCTTTTGCGTTTTTTCTTTTTGGATTTAGGGTTTAGGGTTCCGAGGGGCCTGGCTCTGGGAGGGTGTCCTAATTTGGGGCAGTATCTGGGGAACCTAGGTTTTAGATGTTCTTCAAATGATGCAGAAGCACACCGTGCCTGCAGATGCAAGCGCTCTGTGTTCTGCAATCAGTGCATGTGCAAGTTTTGTGAAGTGGAACCAGACCTTGGTGCTACTGCAAGAGCTAGACCGTCATCTGTTTTCCTTGTTTCAAGACAATGTCCGCACCGGGTTTGGACGACATCGCTCACTCGTGTTGGGACCGCTGGGCATTAGAGGTGGCTGTTGATAGTCTGATAGTGATGAGGACGAAGCTGATGCTTGTCCCTAAGGTCCAACGGTTGATGATATAAATCCCAGAGTCTAGGGTCCTTAAGGTAATGCAGGATTTGTACCATCAACAGAAGTATTCAATATTGTAGGACCTTTGGGCCGTTTTAGGTACCAAAAACAATAAGTGAGGACTACTTGGAATCCCAGGGTGTGCTGATGATGGGGATTGTCACGCCCAGGCTGCTGACCGAGGTGATGAAATGAGGGCATGGACATGCCCCAGGGCTCCAGCTACCTAAATCGTAGGTTACTGGGGTATATAATATATCCCTAAGGGTCCAGTACTCATATAGTATATACATTGGCCTTAAAGTACTTTCTATGTAGGTACATTGGGCCCAAAGTTTCTGCTATATGGGTACATGGACCCTTATGGTATGGTTAGTAACCTACTATTTAGGTAACTGGAGCCCAAGGGATGATCACCACCTTGAGGATCAACAAGTCTTGGATTTTGCTGTATATTCTACTTTAAGACGGTTGATGGCATAAATCCTGCACTACCCACAATAAGGAAGATACCATAATTCCCATAGTTTAGGGTTGTTAAGGTAATTCAGAGATCAACTTAAGCAGGGATGCGCGTATGCCGGGGATAGGGTGTATGTTTTGGCAGTTTTCCATGATCAACCCAAATTGCACATTTGCGAGTTCAACTCCCCCAGTTTTGAGATTATGATTTGTGTGCGTATTTTACATGCCGGTGGTGTGTTTTTTACATAGCCAATCGGAGGATTCCAAAACCACATAACAAGCAAGCAATTAAGCAAACACCCGTTTGGACAGCGGTTTGAGTTGAATGGATTTGTGTGTATAGGAGTATGGATTTAAGATTGAATACAGGCTGAGTTTATTACAGAATTGGAGGAGCAAAGGTCGCTCGCGGGAATTTGGTCTTCAGTTGTTTTGAGGGGCAAGCTGTAGCTCAACCCGAAGAACTTACCCGCCGTGCTTCCCCGTCGTTCTGCAACGGTGGACAACAACTTCGTGTCCAATGCCACGCTCTTCGCTGGACCAGGTGCCTTCCGCCCTCCCCTTTTGCTCTGCCTGCTCATGACATGAACGAATGTTGGTTATCTTGTGTGTGTGCATGCGACCAGCATTGTTGAAGCTTTGTTGACGGAGCATCGGTTGTTCGACTGCCACACTTTTGGACCAAGCCTGCACATTGTGCATCAAAGCTCTCTGATGACATGATGTCCATGCCTCAGGCAACACATGATGGACGCTTTTTCAGATTCATTCACACAGTTTATAGGAGCTTAACACTCGTAAGTAGCTATTGCATCACTCGCCTTAAGGTTTAAGGACTTTCAGCGTGTGGAAGCGCATGACTGATAATTTCCCGACGTTCTCCTCTACCTAGTATCCTCGCCGTTCCTTCGTAGTTCCACCTCGGCGGCCATGACCTCATCTTTTGAAGGTGTCGGCAGGGTTGCGGACAAAGCCCCGCGGGCCCCCCTGCCGGTGCACTCGACGGGCAACATGGACACGTATCAGCGGACCACGCAGGACGTCAAAGACTCGCCGAACGGGGAGGACAAGTTGTTGCTGGTCGGATACGGAGCCGACATGCTGTACCCGAAGCCTTATGCCTGCATCTTGTCTAAAACCGTCGAATTCAACATGCTGTGCTTCTGCATTGCTGCACGATTAGTGTGTGTGTGTGTGTGATTCGTTTCATCAGGCCCGGCGAACACCCCGACACACGCGAATGGACGAACCGGAGTTCTGAAGACTGGACTGGAGAAGAGCGGCTTCGGCGTCTTCGACTGGATGTACCTTGACATCGACGTTCGTGCGCTGGGCTTGAAGGACGCAGAACACGACGTTCAGAGTCCCCGCGGTACCATAGTTGCAGTGCAGTCGTTGTTGTTCCGATGTGTTGCATTACAGAGAGAGTGTGGCATGTGGCTTTTGATTGCTTTCTAAGGTTCCCCGGCGCTCAACTACAGAGTTCTCCAGCACCTGTCGGTCGGCCAGGAAGGCATGTGGCACGCGCTGGTCATGATGCTCGCTCTCATTTCCACGCTGCTCGAGTACAAGCCGGAGGGCATGAAGATCATCCTCTCGCTGTTCTGTGACGAGGTTGAAGGTGGGAATTCGTTTGTTCACGTTTATTTCGACTACTACTACGACTACTACTACTACTATTTCTACTACGACTACGACTACTACTACTACTACTACTACTACTACTACTACTACTATTACTACTACTACTACTACTACTACTACTACTACTACTACTACTACTACTACTACTACTACTACTACTACTACTAGCTAGTACTACTATTACTTCTGCTAGCACTACTACTACCACTACTACGACTACTACTACTACTACTTCTACTACTACTACTGCTGCTGCTGCTGCTACTACTACTACTACTGCTACTACTACTACTACTATTACTACTACGAGCTGAGGCAAACGGGGCAAACACCGTGCCGCCGGACTTTCCACCCTTGTGGCACTTGCCTTGGGTCACCCGCTGTTCCTCCCGACGTTCAACTACCCGGACGTTTGGGACATCAAGTGGTGGTCGGTCCACTTGCCACCCGTGGAGAAACGCGAGGAGGACGACCCGTTACCCAACTTCATCTCGACGGCCATCATCATGTCGAAGTACATGTTCAAAAATCCCCGTCGGAGGTCACTCGCTTACTACGCGGCGGCCACGCAGCTCGGCTTTTGTGAGCCGGACGTACCCGAGGCCGCGGCGGCCTTCTCCGAAGGCATGCAGGAGGCGGACGACGAGGGCTACCAGAAGGACACAGACTCGGAGATGATCGCGCAGGACCTTGGACGTTGGGCAGAGGTTGTGTCCGACCAGGACACCGTCGTTCCCCACACGAAGGACGACATGGACGAACCGGACGAAGACGACGAGCCGCAGGACCAGGAGGACCAGGAGGACGACCCGCCGGCGGAGGAGGAATACGTGGACGTTGAGGTCGATGACGATGACAACGACGAAGGACAGGCCGACGACGAGACCGAGGACCCCGACACCCCCCGGGCGGCCGACTCGATGGCACTGCCAGGCATTGGCGACGACGGCTTCCTCACGGTGGCCAAAACACGCCGGGGGAGATCGCTGGACCAGGAGGACCCTCCACCTCCCCCGAAGGCCTGCCAGGACGACTACACGGCGGTCGACATGCTCGAGTTCCACTTGTACATGGCCCGCAAAAAAGGAGGGCAAAAAGCGGTGGACGATCTTTGCATGGAGATGGCGAGGGAAAGGGTGTCTTGGCTACTTTACATTGACTGAAATTGGTTTTTTAGTAGTCCTGGTTTGCATGAGAGACTGACTGATTGACCCGAGTCACGCGCTGTTCTTCTCTACAAGCACCCAGCCGTTGCGGCGGCAATCATGAACTACCCGTTCGATCTCGACGACGGTGTTTGGAACGCTGCCTGACTTAATTAAGCAATAAGCTCGTGTTCAGGCACGATCAAGGACTTCATTGCATCCACTGTGTCCCATGAATAAGGCGCTGGTCGGACTTGCTGAGCAATCCCCGTGGGGCCGAATTCTCGCACACGATATCGCCGGACAGATGAATCGTGCTCTGGAATGCAGCCAGACGTACTTTGCTTGCAGAGTTCAGTTGAGTGCAGCACTGTTCTGGACTGAGGTAAAGCCTCGTCGGGCAAATCTGGGGACTTAAGAAACCACTCGGCGTACTTCACGATGAACATCAACGAGAAGTCGATTGCCGCCATGCACCCGCGACGTGCCCAAGCTGAATTCTTGTCATTTGCACATGTCTATGTCACTCTCACATGTCTTCCTTTGCGGTCGGATGTGTTCTGCTCTGAGACGATGACGAAGAGTACATGGTGTTCAAGGCCGCCAAGTCTCGCCGGATCGAGAACACGTTCTCGCACATACCCGTGAAGGAGCGGAAGAAGATGGCCGTCTTGAAAACGGAGGACGACGTGCACTCGGATGACTTGCCTGGCGGCTCGTCGTACCAGTCGATCGTGTCGGACCTCAGGCCGGAGGAGAACTACACGCTGGAGACAGAAGCACGCCGGAAGCGCACGAAGTACCTCCGGGAGCAGGGCTACGACACGCCGGACTCCGGAGTTCTCGCCTTCGACGACGACCACACCTACGACCCGTCGGACTACGAGCCTGCCACGGGCGCCCCGAAGGACCTGTACTCGTACAGTCCACCCGACAGGCCTCCTCCCCGGGTCCGGTCCACGCCGGGCGCCAAGCCACTGGTCGGACACGGCACTGTTCTGGATCCACCCGGTGAAGGCGGTCCACGATCGCGGGCCCCGCCGAAGCCTCGACCCCAAGTTCGACCCGAATGGGCTGCCTATGTGGCAAACACGGCAGCACGCGCAGCTGAGGCAGCACCACCCGCTACCACCCGACAGCCGCAGGCCCCACCTCTCAA